AGAAAGAGCTTTCATTTTAGGGACAGAAACCTGCATTTGAAATACTGACCCTGGTTTTCTTATAGCTTTTACTGTTACAGCAGGCAATTTACTTAGCCTTTTCGATTCTCTGTTTCCTGTTCTGGAAAGTGGGGATATTAAAGCATATCTTTCAGGGATATCATGTGGCCTAGAAAGGCAATAAATGTACAGTACTGATTCCATTTGCTCATTAAAATTTCCTCGCCCCTTTACAATTGAGCAGAGTCATATTGGTCTCTGATGGGATGTGACAGTTGTAGGCTGAAACATTTAAGAGCTGATGTACAATCCTCTGGCTTTTTCCTATCCTACCACTGCTATATGGAAGCCAAGTATTCCGGAGGCATAGCTATAAAATGCAAATGTCATATATCTCTGATTTATTCCCTGGAAGAGAACTGTCCTGGAAAGCTGCTGTGTGCTTAAACCATTTTGTATTAAGCAGCGAGTTTTCAGTGCTTCTTCGTTAGTGCAGTATATATACATATTTACATACCCTCACCTATCGCTTACTGGATACCTGTAATTACCTTCCCACATACTTCTGAAACTCAGTATTTTCAAGCTAAATTCATTATTTCTCTTCCAAAACTTACAGATGTTACTGTTGATGTCAGCATGTCCTCTAGCTTTCCAGGCCAACAAGAACAGTTATTTTCTATAGTCCTTTCTCTCCCTCTTCTGCACATCCAATCAGTTACCATGTCTCATGCAGTCACTCTGCCACCTAAAAAGTCTCTTAAATGTTTGGTCACTTCTATTCTTGTTATTTAAAATACTGAATTTATTTTCTTAAGATTTATTAAGTGGAAATTTCATTTTATTCTCTCTCCTGCTAGGAAACAATAATATTTTCAGTTTTCTTATATAGGTATTTATTTAAACAAACATCAATATAATTTGTATACTGCTCTGCACACCTGATGTTTACACTTAACAATATAGTTTGAGATGCATATAAGTACATTCTCTAGCCTTTTCATCTATATAGTGGCTGTGCAATACTCTATTTATTGGACTTTTTAAAATCTATCTTTCATTGATCATTTATACTGTTTCAGTCTTTTGCCAGTATGAATTATAGTTTAAAGAATTTTGAAAAATGTTTTGCATATATATATATGCATATCCTTATGATACAATCCTGAAATTGCTAGGTGAAGAGGGTTATGCATTCGTAATGTTGATAGATGTTGCCAAATGGCTGACACATTTTGATTTGTTTCCTTGCATCCAGACTCACTATTCCCCAATTTCATTCTCTCCCACACTCTGTGGAACTCTTCAATAGCTTTGTTTTTCTAATAAGTTCCTCTTATTGGAAACTCTAAGATCCTCTGTGTGGCGGGCAGGATCCTTCACAATTTTGTCTTTTCATCCTTTATATTTTTTCATATCCCACTTTTTGCTATAACAATATAAACTGCTTACAGTTTCATGCCACTGCGCTCTTTGACTCTATGCCTTAGTGTGTGTGTGTGTGTGTGTGTGTGTGTACATATATATGTATATATATACATGTAATATATTTATATATCCTATATATAATACCCTCTCTCTAGAATCATGCACCTTCTTGTTTTGTCCATAGATTTCTTGTTTATCTGAATTAAATACTGCTCCTTGCTCCTATTTCTCCTATCAACTAATAAACCTGTGTTTCTATGGCCAACAGCTTACACAGTGTCTGGCAGGTTCCCAGGTGCTTTTTCTTTATATTTGACATTTTTGTACACATATTTAATGATCCGCTCTCAATTGTACTCTAACGATCTATCTGTTTATTTTATAATTAAGGGGTGAACATAAAGGATTCTTCTCTTGTATCTAGAAGATACACAATGGAGATTTAGCAATTTGATCAGTATAGGTAATTCACATTTGATAATTTGCCATTGGTGTAGAATTTGTTTTAGTTTCCTAACATAGATGTTTTCTCTGATTGATGGATAATTGCCAAATCCTACCTTTATTTTCTTCTGTGTGTTCACAGTGGATCTATATTTTATACTGAATTAATCCTTTCCCCCATCATTATGCTAAGAAGCATGCAATGTTTTATATGCATTTATTACTTTATTCATTCAGCTAACTTTTAATGAGCACATACTTTGTGCCAGGCACTGCTCTTTGTAGGAAAAAAAATCCCTCATCTCATTCCATTCTAATGGGGAGAGACAGGTAATAAACAAATAAACATGTAGAGTAAATTCACATGGAAATAAGTTATTTTGAGAAAAATAAAGCAGATAAGGGATTAGAAAGTGGTGGAAAGGGACGTCAATAGAGTCATTGCCTACTCTCTGAGTACGTGACATTTGAGCAGAAACTGGACGAAATGAGTAGAATGCTGTGTGAAAATGTGACAAAGGATTATTTCAGGCATTGGGTATAGCTAACTAGGGCAAGGCCCTCAAGTGGGAATCTGCTTCCAGAATTGCAAGAATGTAAATTTAGCTGGAACAGAGTGAGTGAAGGGAAGAATTGAAGGAAATGAAGTAAAAGGTAGAAAGTACAAGGCTTTATAGGCCCTTGTAAGTCCTAGTAGGATCTGGGGGTTTCATAGAGAGTCATCGGAGGATTTTGAGCAGAGGCATCACATGATCAGATTTATATGTAAAAAGTGCTCTTTCTGCTGCAAGGAGGTTGCAGGAGCAGGAGATTGGAGAAGTAGGACTCTTATATAAAAGACTGTTGTTGCTTTCCAGGGAGAACACTGGTGAATAAGATGAAAAATCCTCAGTACTGCATGCTTCAGTCTTAATAATTTCTGAAGAGACCACTTATAATTGCCAATACAGTTCTAAAAAAAATCAGTAAAACATTCAAATAAGTACAACTTTAAAACATTCTATTCTAAGTCAAAAATAATATGTGCCATAATGCCTAACAATTAATGCTATCTGCATTTTAAGATACAGAAAATTTAGTAAAGCATACTTTGTTACATCTTTAATTGGTTTAGGTAGAACTTTCAGCAACAAAAAAAGCAGAATGTACAAATCCAAGAGATAGGCTTCTGTGTGAAGGGTCCTTCGATGAAGAAGCTTCTGCCCAGTCCTTTCAGGAAGTTTTAAATCAGTGGAGAAGTGGACATCATGATGACAGCGAGAAACAGAACTTACATGCAGCAAAACCAGGTACAGCTATTTTTATAAAATTAATGTAAAATCAAGCTAAGTTTATTTTATTTGTCTCCATTCTCTGTGAATATAAAGACAATGTTCTGAAACTATTAACATTGGGATAGAAGTTTGATATAACTCCTCAAAGGAGTATTCACTGTATGATCATTGGTTAGTGGTTTAATATTTATGGAACTCCTGAATTAGGTGTTGGGGATATTTGTGTTTGTTTCCTATGTAAATTCAGGCTGTCAAATGAATAGAGGATTGGTTTCTTTCAGCTCCCCCTTTCCTAGCAGAAAGTTTTTGTCAGGACAATTATTTCTTAAGAAACTGTATTTACAACACATAAAACAAGAGGATCTGTGAAGTAGAGAAGTAAATAATTTTTTATGTGTCTTGAAAAATATTTTTCAGTTCTTTAGGGGAAGAATTGATTTGTCTTTTGTTTTTCTTTTCTTTTGAAGAAATACTTCTTGTTTTTATTTTTCCTTGATGATTTTTACACCCATTTTCTAGACATTGAAGAACTAGATGACTGAAGTATAAGGTATCTTTGCTTCAAGTTTCCCAGTATCTCTGGGGAAAATCATACTTTTAAAAGTATGTGATTTATTAATTTTATTACTCAGAATCTTGTAGAGACTTCCAATTGCTTTTCACTGAAAACAAAATGTTAGATAATAAATTTTAATGATGTATTTTAGTTGACAGCATCTGATTTTATTTTTATTTCATTCTTTTTCATTGAAGGTTTTCTTCTTTATTTCTCCTTTATAACACAGTATAATTTCTAACATCAAAGTATCACATATCATCTTCCCAATTAGAATCGGATTTTTTATTAAATTATTTTCTCTTTTTCACATATTTTTCCTACACTTCTTATGACACATTAATTTCATTAATTTTTCCAAGACTTTATTTGTGTACTCTCTTTTTAGTATATATTTCAATATAACTCTCATTGGTTATGTTTTTATGTGCTTTTATTTTAAATTTTATATTTGATGTATTTTTTCTTTTCTACTCAAATTTTATATTGCTTGTCCACTTTGAAAGATATAGTATTTAAAATAATAGAAGGACTGACTTAATAAATTGAATCAGATTAGATAAAAGAAGTCTGAAACCATTTAAAAGTTTTGTCTTTCATAGTAGGAATAACTATATTATATGAATAATATAATTATTTTTAAATGATTTCGTTATAACAAAAAAGTTACCAAGAAGAAAATATAAATAGCCCAATTCTGCAATCTAGAGATAACCAATTTTAACATGTTGGGACACATTTTTCAATAGACATAGATACACTTACACTCAAATGCACCCACACACACATGAATACAAGACTAAATGAGGTAACACTCTGTATCCTATTTGTTAACTTTTTCACTTAGATTCTGTCAGAGACAACTTTCCAAATTAAAACATCATCATTTATAACTGTTGCATAGAGTACTTAATTGCCATTATTTACTTAATCAGACCTTTATTGATGGATAGTTTGTTTCTAATTCTCATTATTATAAATGAAGTTATGATAACAATCTTAGCTATTTGTGTACTTGTACAATTATCTTAAAATACATTTTTACCAGAAGGTAGGGGGTAGAGAAGAGGGGGGAGGTAGATGGGGAAAAAATAAAAATAAATAATAAACAAACAAATACATAAATAAATGTTCAAATGTTGAGTCAGTCAGTGTTGATTTATTTTATGAAATTTTGATTAATATTGTCAAATTGTCTTCTAAATAAATGACTTAGTTATATGCCCACTAACAATGTGCGAGATGGCTACTTCCCCATATTTTCTAATTCTTTAACTTGAGCCAATTTGATGGACATAAATGTTTATCATTTTTAGCTGGCCTTTCACCATTCACTTGTAAAATAATATTGGCTATTTTAATTTTTTAAAATATATTTTGTACTTACTCTTTGCCAATATTTAGATACAAATAATGTTTTAAATATTAAGGGTACAAAACATTCCTCTCACTATCATTGTTTCAACAAATGATGAGTACATATTATGTGCTGTGTGGGAAAGTGATGTGCAAAAGCAGCTAGCTACAATCTATTTTGGAACTTATAGTCAAGTGGAGGTGAAAGAATTGAAAAAAAAAAAAAAGAATTGATCCAATGACTCGCATAAGCTTGATGGAAAAGTGCAATGCCTTCATCAAGTGATAATTACCACACACTGAAGAAGATGCAGCATTTTGTCAATTTGTATCACATGAGTCTGTGAAGCATGTAGAGAAAGAAATTTTATATTAAAATGTTAAAAAGACCTTGATGGTCTTGATATTGCACAGAAGATAATGGCATGGTGCTAAGAGGATTTGGTGAACAGGGAGTATCTGTTATAGGATAATTATACTGTACCCTTTCTACCATGGATGGACCTTTTGTCATCATGAGAAAAGCCACATATTTCATATATGCATTTGTCTTCTCTACCAGTAGTGTGCCTGCCAGCAGAAACCTTATTTATTACCATGGTATCTCACATGACATTGTCTCAGACCAACATGTTCATTTTATTATGAAAGTAGTATAGCACTGGGCTCATACCCATGGAATTCACTGATCTTACAATATGTAGTGTTATCCAGAAGCAGCCAGTTTTACAGTTTTGTGGAATGGTCTGCTGAAGGTTCAGTATGGATTCTGTCTGAGAAACAAAATTTTGTGAAGTTGAGGTGCTTTTCCTACAGGGTGCTGTATATTACATGAACGTTTACCCATGTGTCCATTAAATAGAAAGCCGAGACTACTCACTGGCATTTTGTGGCTCACTGAATTAATAGAAAGAGTCACTGTACAACCATGTTGGTTGAGCACAAGAACCAAAGAACAATTAGATTATTATTACTCAAAAAGAAAAGATAGACTTCATCTGGAAACCATTCGATGGCACACTTTTTAATTTTTCTATGTTCAGTAATAATATTCATTGGGAAAATCTAGCAACCCAATGAAAAGAGGGCTTGTATTTATATATCTTGGATCCTTTGGGAATGAAGATTTGAGTTACTCTACCAGGTAAAAAGATACTGACATACAGTAATGTGAACATGGAATGGGTTGTGAAAGAAGGAAATGATGGTAATTAAATTAATTTAGGCTTGAAAACCAGCTACAAAAATGAAGACCATAGTAGCTATGTTTTATGTTGAGTAATTATTTTTTTTCTCCTCTCCGTTTCCTGCTGTCTTATATGATATATACTACTGGTATCTAACATTTTAACTAGATTTCACTTGGGAGTATCACCAAATTGAAATCTTCCTATGATACAAAGTGCCAAAACTTTGTGTTTTGTGTTTTCCCTTTGCTTCAGACGTGAGTTTTTTTTTCTCTTTTTCTTTTTTCTTTTCCGGGGTGGGGGAGGGGAGAGAAATGGTTGTTTATTTGCAAAATAAGTAGACCCTGTCTTTCTAGATCCATTCTCTTCCATTTCTGACCTATTTTGTGACTCTAAAGGTTGATCTCTAAGGTCTAGAGACTGTAACACTTGAGCTCCCTTGTTCTCTGGCTTCCGGTTGGGTTTAGCCAATTGGAGACACTAACAGGACATTGGAAGGCAAGGAGGAGGTGGTAAGGTATTTACTCACCCTCTCCTTGATGTGGTGCAATTTCGCAGTGACAGCATTCTCCACCTGTGTTGTTAGCATCAGTGAAATGAACTCTCTTCCACTGCTATCACTTTCAAAGACTTTTTACAACAGTTCTCTTACTTTGTCCTCTCAAACCTAGTATTCGTAACAGCTTTCCACTATTTTTAGTCTCTTGGTGTTACCACATCGCCTATTCCACTAACCTCAAGACATGATTATAACTTAGTCCCATCATTTAACCTTCTTCAAATTACCCCATTGGGTTTTCTTTTCTTGTCAGGACTCTGAGATACAGCTGATCAGAAAAAGGATTCTAAGAAACTGAGATTTGATCTGAGGTCTAGAAAATGAGTTGGAGAGTGGGGACAGAAAATGGCATGTGCAGAAGCTCCATGATGGAGAGCGCATTGTGTTAGGGGAGCTGAAGGTAGATGGGTGTGGCTGGACTTTAGAGAACAGGGGAGAACATTCTAGCACAACAGGCTAGAGAGGAATCACAATTAGTGGCCTGGAAAGGCAAGCCTACAGAGAAGATAAGAGTGGCATACATGTAGGTGGAAAGTTCGTAAAGTGCATGATCATAAAAACCATGGAGGATGCGAGGTCAACGGTGTGGTGCTGTGGAGAAATTATTAAGATAAGGACACTTTTGTTGATATAATTTGTGATTTTTTTGCCCTAGGGTATTTTATATATATACACATATAATTATTTGTGCATGTGTGTTACCTGAATATATTTGTAGATATTTTCCTTTTCCTAAAATAAAGTAGATACAAAGGAACATTTATAAAATTTATGTAGCTTATAGATAAAACAAAACAATGTGCACCTATTTTCTCTCCTCTATCCTTCTCTCTAAGAGATTATCACTAGACCAAATTTTGTATTTTTTTTCATTTTATTGATTTTCTTGCAGTTTACTGCATGTGTGTATCTCTAAACAACAATGTTAAAATTGCATGTATTTGAACATTATGTAAGTGGAAAGCTAGTATATGTATTCTTTTGCAACTTGATTATTTCACTCAATATTAATTATTGATATTTACCCATAATTGTTATTTCATTCATTTCTACTGCTTAATAGTCTTCTGTTATATTAATATAGCACCATTTACCTGCTTAACTGTAGATGGTTGTTTGGGTTGATTCTCATTTTTGCCATTACGACCAATACTGTTATGAATGTTTTTATACAGATCTCTTGGGACACATGTGTACACATATTTGGTATTTCTATTCCTGAAAATGACGTAGCTGGGTCCTAAGGTGTGCATGTCTTTAGCTGTACCAGCTAAAGCTGAATTATTTACCAAAGTATTTGCTCAGTTTACATTCCCACCTGCAATGTATTATAGCTTTGGTTTCTTCTCATTATCATCAACACTTAAATTGTCAGATTTAAAAATTTTTGCTGCTCTGATAGAGATAAAATGACATATCTTAATTTGCGCTCGTCATTATAAATGATATTGAGTATCTTTTCATGTTTCTTAGCCATTTGCCTTAGTAATGTGCTTTGAATTTCCAAGTTTTCTATTTCTGTTACTGATTTCTAACTTGATTTCATTTGAGTGTACTCTAAAGTTTCATTTCCTTCAGTATGAAAGGCAAGTACTTATAATGGCCTGGGAGGTTCCCCGTGTTCCAAAGTCTGTTATCTCTTCGATCTCATCTTCTGTTACTTTCCTCCTGGCTTGTTCTGTTTCAGCTACACTGGCTTCCTGTTCCTCATATACCTCAGGCATATTTTCACTTTTAAGACTTTGTGGTGTCTATTAAGGAAAACACCCATCATGTCGTGAATATGAATGATGGGGCATCTCACACAAATTCTCACCAAAAGTAGCTAGTGGACCATGAAACAAGGGATTGAACCCAAACCTAAGTTACATAGCTTACATGGCATTCTTTCAGGGAGACATGCCTCATAAATCAGTGTGTTCTAGATTTGTTTTCTATATGCAGTTCTAAACAAGGGCTATACACACTAAATGCATTGCATAGCTAAAGATTTTCCCTCTAGCAAATATCATTAACCTATTTGCCAGAAGTTTCAGTTATCAACATATATTCACAAGGAAAGGAACCCAGGTTATCTGCCATTTTTTATCTTCTGAGAATGAGCCATTGGTAGTAGGAGAAGAATGAATCACAGACCAGCTGCTTTACTTCCTCCTCATCACCCTTCTAGATTTGGGGGTTATCTCTCAAGCATAGTGGCTCTTCTCTATGACCTATGCTGAAAAAAAAGTGAGTTCTCATTTTTTCTTTCAGCTTCTCTTGGCAAGAAATGTTTTTGTTTGCAATAGAAAGGGGGACTCATAGTGGAGGGATCTTTTTCCCATGACTTACTCATATCTTAACTCTTGCCCTTTCAGTTTAATGCATTCTGGTGGTGCTTCTCAGAACTTCCTCCAGTTGCTTTCTTCAATGCTCTCTTTTCTTTGGGAATTATAGTACTGGGGTGACTTAAATTCTTTTGGTTTATTTCTATTGCTGGTGTTTGGCTGTTTCTGGAAACTATTTATTAAGGCTACAGGATAAGGTTGAGACTAATCTCTAGTTTCAGATTCTATAAAAAATAATCTCCTCATCTTTACTGCTTCATATTTTTCTCTTCCAACTACGATGGTCAATTTAGAGAGAGAAGTAATATCTAGGATGGTAGAGAGATGAGTAACCCTTGGTTTACACTGCTTTCTTTCCCAGAGATCTCCATCAGTTTTAAATATCTCTGAATAGTGGTTTTAACTTACTTAGTACTTCAGGAACATCTTAAGCCACGTAGATAAAAATTAATGAGGCCAGTTTTCTCCTCCAGGTGCCATTCTAAGTTATTTATTTTCTGTTCCCTATAATGTGTAAGTACTATTTTCAGTGGCTATAATCCATACCTTTATGTGTATGTGTGTTTATGGCATATATAATGAACATATTCGTATTTATCTTTAGCATTTAAAATAACTAGTTGCTTTTAAAAAAACCTTGTGAATCATAAGATTCTTTCGTTTCCAGGGATTATTGGGAAAAAACTGTCTCTACAGGCATTTAATAAATCACCAATATATAACATTTTTGCATTATTTAAGTCTAAAACTCTTAATTATCTAGATAACTATCAAAGCATATTTGCCTTAAAAGTGGTGAGTTCTGTTTATTGAGAGAAGTTTTGTTAATTTATAGATTGGTCACTAACTATGCATATTATGTTTATTTTTATAGATTCATTGGAAGAATGTGAGGTACAAACTAACTTGAAAGTTTGGAGAGAACCAAATTTAATTAATATTGAATTTAAAGAAGACAGTATATCCTATATGGAAAAATTATGGCTTAAAAAGTACAGAAGGTATTTTTTGAATTTTTGCCTTATTAATAAATATAAAAGCTATTTATGTTTTTCACTTTTGTGACATGCTTTTTGTGTAGTAATTTTATATGTGGTTCCTGTTTGCATAAATAATTTCAAAGCAATATTAAATCTCCATGAAGCCTATACTGTTCTAATGAGAATTTTAATTCTATGTATGTATATGATGCATAATTAATTGATTTTTTCTTGATAAATGGGAAAAAGGAACAAATATGGTCTAGAATTTAAGAATAATAGCAAAATAAAATGATAAAAGAAAGATTACTTTGAAAAGGTATTGCTCTCAGATTTTTTACATTCGTGTAAAACTTTTGAGTATACTTTTCAGAACCTACTTTTAAGTTAATTAAAACTTTAATTTCATAATTTTATTGATAGTATTCAGGTATATTTTATTCTAAGACATATTATTAGATGCACCATTTCATAAATTGTTTAAGAGTTTAACATTAAATATTACTAAACAACATTTATTTTTCACAGTTCTTAAGGCCGCGAAATTCAATATAAAGGTGCAAACAGATTCAATGTCTGGAGAGAGCCAGCTTTCTGGTTCTTAGATGGCCATCTTTTCACTGCGTCCTCACATACAGAAGGGGTGACGGGTCTTTCTCTGGTGTCTTTTATAAGGGCACTAACCCATTCATGAGGGCTCTAACTTCATGACTAAATCACCTCTCAAAGGCCCCGACCATTACTTTGGGGAATAGGATTTCAACATATGTATTTCGTGAGAACACAAATATTCAGAACAGAACTTTCCACTCCTCCCTTCCAAAGGTCATATCCTAGCCACATACAAAATATGTTTATTTCATCTCAGTAGCCCCAAAAATCTTAACTCATTTCAGCATCAGCTCCAAAGTCTAAAGTCCAAATTCTTATCTAAATATCATCTAAATCAGATATGGGTGAGACTCAATATGTGAATAATTTTGAGGCAAATTGATCTCTAACTGTGAACCTATAAAATCAAATGTGTTCTGTGCTTCCAAAATACAATGGAGGCACAGGCATAAGATAGATATTCCCATTCTAAAAAGGAGAAATAGGGAAGAAAAAAAGGAATGACAGGTCCCAACAGGGAAAATTCTATTAGATCTTAAATCTTGAGAATTATCCTCTCCATCGATACTTTGCCCTCCAGACACACCAGGATGGAGGTCTCAGCTTCTAGACACACTAGAACAGGAATCTCGTCTTCTGGACACAGTGAGGCAGCATTACTGCCCCCAGTCGCTTTACTAAGCAGAAGTTGGCCCCCAAGGCTATGGTGCCCCATTCCTATGGCGGCTCTGTGCTGGGCCACATGCTTATGACTCCCCTGTGCTGGAATCGTGTGGCTCTTCCAGCCTGGGATCACAGGGGTAGCATTGCCCCACAGTTTCCCTGGGTGTTGCCCTAATGAGCTCTCTGCAGTGGTCTGGAGGGCTCTGGTTCTGTGATGGAAGGGATGGTTCTGCTGATTTTTGAGTCTCCTTTGGGGTCAGTCTTTCATGTGTTGGACAGTAGGCCCTGACTTCTGTTTAGGTGGCTGACTAACTTCCCTATCAGTTGATCCTTTGGCTATACACTTGTTCTTTACTAAATAGGCTCTCTTATTTTTTTCAATATTGATAGGCTAAAAAATGTTCCAAATTTTAAAGTTTTGCTGCTCTTTTGATTAATAAATAGGTCTTTAAATTATTCCTCTCTTCTCACATTTTACTATGAGCAGTCAAGAGAAACCAGGACACTCTCCTTCAACACTGCTTAGAAGTTGCTTCAGCCACATATATAATTTCAATACTCACAAATTCACCTCTATAAAGCACCAGGATGGAAACATAATTAACTAAGTTCTTTGCCAATTTATTAACAAAGATTGCTTTTCTTCCATTGTCTAATAACATGTTCTTGATTTCCATCTGAGACCTCATCAGAATGACATTTACCATCCATATTTCTACTGACATTCTTCAGGAGTACTCAGGTATTCTCTAAGGAGACAGGCTTTTTCAAAGCTCTCCGCTTTCCTTTCTGAACAGTCATCAATCAAAATCTTGTTTTCCAAAGTTGCTTAGGCCATTGCACTCATTTTTTTCCCACCTCCTTTGGGTGGTTTTACCATTCATTGAGTACTTTTAAAAATTTGGCTAGCACAAACTTGTGTACAGTTTTGGATTTTTACCAGTGCCTGGAGTCATCTGTTTACCACAGTGCTAAACAGCACTATTCTATTACCCCCAAATTCCCTGTGCTCCCGCTTTGTAGTCAACTCTTCTTTCCCAACCTATGGCAACCATTGGTCTGTTTCCATCCTTATACATTTGCCTTTTTCTAAATGTCACGTAAGTGAAATCATACAATATGTAGCCTTTTGTGGCCTTCATTTAGCAAAAATAATTTAAGATTCATGCACATTCTTAAGTAAATCAAAATCCATTCCTTTTTATTGTGGAGTACTATTTCATCATCACGATATACAGTTTACTAATATGTTGAAGAATAGCCTGCTGATTTTTAGTTTTTTGTAATTATGACTAAATCTGTTATAAACATTTGTATATAGGTTTTTGTTTGAATATAAGCTTTTAATTTCCTGTGTAAATACCTGGGACTAGGATGGCTAGGTTGTATGGTGAGTGCATGTTTTATTTTTATGGAAAATCTGCCAAACTGTTTTCCAAAGGGACTGTATAGTTTTACATTCCTTCTTGCAGTCTGAGAGAATTCTAGTTGCTCTCCATTCTTGCCAGTGCCCAGTATTTTCAGATTTTTTCTTTTTTCTTTTTGATAGTCATTTTAATCACTGTGTAATAGTATCCTATTGTGGTTTATGTGGCAGAATTTGAAGTTCATATCCTATTCTGGTTATTCCTATGTAACTACTGTTTAAGTTGTCTATCTCTTTTAAAGTATGATGCTTTTAACAATCCTTCAGGTGTGAAACTCAGTAGTGTGTACCTGTTATTGCCTCTTTCTAGTTTAGGAATTAGTACATAAAAGTAGTCTGAAGGTCATTTATCTTTTTCTTGGCTGCCTTTTGATGTTTTTTACATTGAGTTTCTTATACAATAAAAGAAGCACGATTTTGTTATTAAACGACCATTTAATAACATTTGTGCTTGGACACATACTAGAAGCTTTGATTGTGGCCGTATGAAGTCCTGAGCTATGCTGAATAATGAATGTTGGCAAATTTCCTTATTAGAATAATGGTTAGTGAACATATTCACTAGGGTCTTATGTACACAGTTATTTTTTAACAGTAATCACTTCTTTAGTCAATTCTTTATGTTTTAATTATAGATGCTAGTATAGGGCAATCCATTTGCAGTTTACAAGTTTGTGATTATAAATTGATCACATCATTTCTGATGCTGTACTTCAAAAGAGTTTCTCATGTTGATAACATTGATCACTATTAACATTTTATTTTTTGCCTATGATTGTCATGTTTTATAATAGGTATATAAATATACGTTCCATTCTATTTTGTTTTTGTATTTTTTTTTCTCATTAGGTTAGTAACATTTTTTTTGTATTTTATGTGCATCCAATACATACGTGTTGAAAATCTTAATAGCTATCTTAATATCTCCAGTGGATCTATTAAATGCTAGGAGAGTTTTGTGAAAGGTAGCAAAAGATTTGGATAGAGTATTTTAACAGCAGACAGTAGCAATTAGCTGGTATTCCCACTACAATTCCCCTGCTATTTTTATTACTTTTAATTCTCAATTCTAGCTGAATATCAGAAGCATCCAAGGAAAGTTTTTAAAATACTGATTCCTCAGCTCAACCCCAGATAGACCTAAAAATCAGTGTCAATGAGTTTAGTACCTATGTTTTCTTCTATGCAATTTAGTGTTTTAGGTCTTAAATTGAGGTCTTTGATACATTTTGAGTTAATTTTGGTGTATGATGACAGAAAGAAGTCTAGTTTCATTCTTTTGCATGTGGCTGTCCAATTTTCCTAGCACCATTTAATAAAGAGTCTTTCTTTTCTCCATTGAGTGTTTTCTGCTTCTTCGTCAAAAATTATTTGCCCATATATGTGTGAGTTTATTTATGGGCTCTCTATTCTGTTCCATTGTTCTTTGTAGTATAATTTGAAATCAAACAGTATGTTACCTCTGGCCTTGCTCTTTTTTTCTCAGGATTGCTTTGGCTATTCAGGATCTTTTGGGCTTCCATACAAATCTGATGATTTTTTTTTTTCTAAAAAATGCCATTGGAATTTTGATGAGGATTGCATTAAATCTGTACATTGATTTGGGTAATATGGACATTTTAGCTATATTGATTCTTCCAGGCCAACAACATGAAATACCTTTTCATTTCTTTGTGTCTCATTCAATTTTTTAAGAATAATGTCTTGTAGTTTTCAGTGTATAGGTTCTTCACATGCTTTTTTCATTTTATTCCTAACTCATTTTTTGAGGCCAACATTATCCTGATACCGAAACCTGGTAAGGAGAATCCCCCAAAAAGAAAACTACGAACAGACATCTCTGATGAATACAGATGTAAAAATCCTAAACAAAATACTAACAAATTGAAAACAACAATATATAAAAAGATTAATGTCACAATCAAGTGGGAACCATCCTTCCAGGAGCGCAAAGATGGTTCAACATATGTAAATTGATCAACGTGATACACCACATAAACAAAATGAAGGGTAAAAATCATATGATCGTATCAATAGATGCAGAAAAAGCATTGGAGAAGATACAGCATCAATTCATGATTAAAACACTTAAAAAAACTATGTATAGAAGGAATGTACCTCAACATAATAAAGGCCACGTATGACAAACCCTCAGCTAATATTCTACTTAATGGCGAAAAACTGAAAGTTTTTTTCTAAGATCAAGAACAAGACAAGGATGCCCGTTCCCACCACTCTTATTCGATATAGTATTGGAAATCCTAGCTAGAGCAATCAGGCAATAGGAAGAAATAAAAGAATCCAAATTGGGAATGAAGTCAAACTGTCACTTTTTTGCAGATGACATGATTCTCTATACTGAAAACCCTAAAGACTCCACCAAGAACTATTAGAAACAATATACAAATACAGTAAAGTTGCAGAATATAAAATCAGTGTACAAAAATTCATTGTGTTGCTATATAATGGCAATGAAATTTCAGAAAAAGAAATGAAAACACAGTTGCTTTTGCAATTGCAACAAAAGGAATAAATACCTAGGAATAAACTTGACCTTTACTTTTTAATATTTTCTATCACTTAATTAAATTGTAAGTATAAGATGGCATGCTTATCAAATTTGTTAAGAGAAATCTGAATAACATATATTTTGGAGTGTTCTGACATATGCATTACATATTTTGGAAAAATGCACGTAGCCATAGATTGCCAGGAAATTATCAAATTTTTAGTGCCATTACAAATTACAAGAGTGACAATATAGAGCAATAGTTATAAACATGGGCTTGGGGAGGCAGATGCCTTGGGTTCAAGTTTCTCTTCTGCATTGCTACCTAAATGACTTTGAATAAGTTGGTTTACTTATTTGTGCCTCAGTTGCTTTATCTGTAAAATTAATATTACACTAATGCCTATCGAGTGCTTCTATTGAGATTTAATACCCTAAATTATTTAGAACAGGTCTTGGTACATTTTAAGTTTTGTATCAATGTTACCTACTAATATCATTGAGAAGGCCTTGACCTTTATGTGGGGACCTCATGAACTAGCATGATCTAGAAGGGCTGTAGCTACTTCTATTTATGGTTAAAAAATGACCAGCTCCCCAATAATTTGGGAATATCCTCTAGAACCAGATGTACACTCTTGACCTTTGAAAATCCCTGTGCTTCCTTGCCTTTCATATGTGATGAGTCACATCAAACCTTATTGCTAATTGGGTGATAGATGCCATAGTCAGGACATTTCACATTCATATCATGGGAGCCTATTTTTCACCCTACTGGCTTGATGAGACAAAACACACATTCATAAATTAGCTTTTTAAATAGTGTGGTATGTTTAATGGACTTCATGTGGCTTTTGCAAGAACACCGGCTTCTATCATAACTTTTCTTTTCATCCGAAACGAAAAACAGTAGGATATGCAATTAAAAAGTCTTGTATGATGCTAATTTGATTTACAAAATTATTTAAGTGATTAAGATTCCGTTATGCAATTGCACTTTTCTTCTGTGAATTAGAGGTACAGCTATGGTTTTATTATTAATTTTGTAGACTCACTCATTTGTGACATAAATCAAGATCTTGTCTGGAAAGTTTTAGATAATATATTTTAGTCTTTTAATTGCTTCTTTCTTGTTTTATAGAACTCCACAGGAGCAACTTCGAAACATGCTACCAGATACATTCATTCCTCAGAGTACAACCACTAGTGAGGCACAGTGTTCTCAGAATGAAAATGATGAAGATAGTGGTGGTTAGTTTAGCCTTGATTAGATATTTTCAAATTTATTATTTAAAATTATATACAGTAAGTATTAACCAGCATCTGCTTTTGGTTTTCTTTACTGTATCATTCTCAACTGGACTATGTATCCTTTGTCTCCAGATCAAAATCATGAACACTTATTTTGCTTAGCATGATTATCTCAAGATCCTTTCATGTTGTCACAAATAGCAGTATTTCATCTTTTCTCATGGATGAATAATATTCCATTTTATTTATGTACCATGTCTTCTTTATCCAATCATCCACTGTAAGACAATTTGGTTGCTTTCATGTCTTGGCCATGATGAATAATGCTGCTATGACAAACAAACAGAGATTTATGAACATGACAGTGGATTAGTGGTTATCAGAGGGAAGTGGGCAAGGGGGGAGGTAGGAGGGGGAAGATAGATAGGGGTAAAATGGGACAAATATTGGGTGACAGAGGGAAATATAACTTTGGGTGGTGAACACACAATTTGATGTATACATGACATACTGTTGAATCGTATGCTTGAAACTTATTTGATTTTATTAATCACTGTCACCCCAATAATTTTAAATAAAAAAAATCAGGCACACTCTTTTTTCTTGTCTCTGGATTTACCTTCTCTTAGTTTAAATAGTTTTATTTAAAAATCGAATGTTAAGAAAATGTGTATATTACTTGACCTAGGGAAATTGACTATTTGTTTGGATACAAAGGAGAACATTATTCCTTTATTGTTGGCTATGTTATTTGGAGATAGGAAATTCTCAGGTAAGGTATATTCTTTGATGATATTATTTTCTAATCTTATTTCCTAGTTGAGGAGACCAAAGTACAATGCCCAGCTCTTTTTCTGCCAGTAGAAGAATTAAGCATAGAGAGACCTGAACCATCTCTAAAAATAGTTGAACTGGATAATGTAAGTGCACAATGACCACTTGTATTACTTAAGAAACAGAAAATTTATAACCTATAGTTACAACTGTATATTATTTTCAACATTTCTTTCATAATTCAATATATTTTAATAGAAAATTTAGAAGTGTTTGAATTTAAACATGCTGATAGTATAAAACAGTTTGTGTTAATGTAACAGTAAATTTCTGAATTGATATTGTATTATATTTTTTTGAAGCCTGTAGTATGGGAGATGAAAAGACATTTTACTCATTTAACTTATGGAGATATAGTTTGTTTCATTTAGTTCTTCATGTTTTCAGACTTGTAAACAAAGATTAGTCTCATTATATGGTATCTAATAAAATTTTTGTACATTTAGCTTTTGAATGCCATTCAATATTTTCTATTTAAAAGAAAAATAATATGAAGATTTAAGGGATATAATATAATAATAATTTAAATACAAACTTCAAGAAGACAATAAGTAGAATCAACTAAAGCTAGGGCTAGTCAGAACTAGCTAGATCTCCACACTGAAAGTTTAAGTTGTGACCAACTCAATATATTTCTGACTTTTTAGTCATCTGGTAGCTGAATATACCACTTTTCCTCAGTATTTATATTCTTTGGTTGTCAAATAAAAATACTAGAATGTAGGAAGTACCTCTTTAAATACTACTTTCTTCTGTAGGTTAATAGCTTCTGCTGTGTGTGTGTATGTAATATGTAACAAATAAATATGTATATGCAGGTATATATATATATATATATACACACACACACGTGTGTGTACATGTACATATGTTTGTATACTACTCACAAATATATACAAATATATGAATATATAAATATATGTAAAGTATATGTTTATACACATGCAAAATATATGTTTCACAAAAGCATATTTACCTTTATTAGTGCAATGAATTCTGTTGTTGACCTTAACTTTCATCTTTATGTATTCTTATATATCAGTGGCCTCTTCACATTTTTGCTTCTGTAGCCTATTAGTAATAAATGTTTGAGCAAGCATTTCATGTGTGTGTGTGTGTGCGTGTATGTGTGTGTGTATGCTTTTTATTAAATTGTTGATGCATAGAGTAAGTTTATAACATGCTGGCCAGAGAATTAAAAACATTTTAGTCACTAATTTACTTGGCTCTTAATGAACATAATTTGTTATTGTTGGTTCTGGGTGTGATAGTGGTGATAAAATGATTGAAAGAACAAATGTCCTCAGCAAATATTTGTTGAATTTGTTGGGTTCTCCTAGAGCTCATGTTTTATGGCATATAGGCAGAGAGCTCATTACATCATTTGTAGAAAGAAAATTATCATCCACAAATTGGCTGGTTAATGTATAATACATTTATTGAAAATACTAATATTATACAACATGTATTTAATAAGACTTATGAGGAAGAATTTAAAGAACCAGAAAACATCGTGCCTTACAAAGTTGAGTTAGCTGATGCAGACAGTCAACAAAGGTAAGATCTTTCTAATTCAATTTCGATACTTATCAAAAAAAAAAAAACACAAAAAAATCAATTGTCTCTTTAAATGAGAAATTCATGATTTGAAAAACAAGTGATTTTAATGTTATGTCGTATTTTACTAAAGCCATGTTTAAATTTGTGTACAATACTGCTAATATTTGTCAACATTCAATATAATCAGAAAACTGTCTATAACGATATGTTTATATTCTTACCTAATATCTGGATTATTTAACAGATGCTTCTGAATTTAGGAATTGTTATTATTTGAAACAGTTGACCAAGGCTGATATATTTCATATGAGCTTTCTTCTTTTCTCCAAAGATACTCTGGATTTTCCTTACTTCAGTTTGCTATGAACTGTAAATAAAACTAGATATATTAATGATTAGTTTGAGAGTTCTAAACTGTAGATTACTTTCTGGGTAGATTTTACGGTGTGATAAATAAATGAAATATAATGGTTCACTTTGCAACTTTTTAAAATAGAATTTTGTCATTTCCAAATGAGAAATTATATTTAGCTGTATTTGTTAGTAATGTTAAAAATTACTCCAAGTTCCCTTTGCTGTTGAAACTTTAGCTAGGATTTCAGATGTTTCGACTACAAGGTATTAAATTGGCTAAACAGCAGAATGAAGTTCCTATTAAGTAGCTTCTACGCCAGTTCTTTGTTTATATATTCAGATCAGTTTAGGCCCCTGTCAGCAGTTTAGAATAGCAGTGGGCCTAAGTGATGCCCTCAGACCTGAAAACCCTTGTTTGGACTCATAGGCCCACATATCTAGCAGCAGATGCGCTTTTGACATTTGACATTATGAAAAGAAGGCAGGAGACAAACTTCTAGTCATTAGATAAGACTAGACCACTATATCGCTAAGGAAATGAATGACCTTTCTTCTCTCTAATGTGATTCTTTTGTATATCTAATCGCAAATCTTTGTTTTGACCTCCATGAATGCAGAGAAAGTTCCTGATCATGGTTTGGCAATTCTTTTGCATCTTGGGTTTGGAGGTGCCCACATGAGTGACACAAGAGGACCTTTTTAGTTAAGCACAATTCATGAGTTTTTATGATGTTACTATGTAGAGAGTTTATATAAATATCAGATATTATTAAATAATATTATTCAATTCATAAAAATGTTATTTGTAACTATGGTTGTATATAGTGAACATTATTTAAAAAATGAAATGTGAATACCACAAACGGCTTTTTAACTCTCATAATACATTGATGAACAAATAAAAAGTTTATTTAATTAATAAAACTTTGATTTCATCAAGACTTCATTGAGCTTGAAAATTAACTCCATTTTTAGAAGGAATATATGGTGACAGAAGGAGATTTGACTTGCGGTGGTGAACACACAATGCAATATACAGATGGTGTATTATAGAATTGTACACTTGAAATCTATATAATTTTATTAACCAATGTCAACCCAATAAATTTGATAAAAAATAAAAATTAATTAATTAATTCTAAAAGAAAAGAATATAAGGAAACAAACTTACTTCAGAATATTTTTAAAAAGAAACTTTCATTTGAAATTTTGTAGGTAAATCAGATTTGGCTGTTTCTTTTAAATCCGTAATACTATTTATGTTGTTTAGAATGTGTCCACAGCAAGATGAAAACAAATATTAAATTAATGTAAATACCCCTATTACCTTAAGGTTTTACTATATTTGTTTTAATAAGGTGAGACTTTTTACTTTTAAAAATATTATTTCAACTCTACTCTTTTGCTTGTCCATAAACATGAAAGTCGCACATTTCATGATTATCCGAATACTTTTCTGTATAAAAATGACATCTATCAACATCATGTTTTCACCAACGGAAAAACAGACCTCTTACATCTTCATCTTAGCAACAGCTCTTCTAATTGTGACAGTAACTCAAGAGGTAACTTTTTTTTTTGTTGCTTACCATTATTAACAATAAATATTAGTAGTTTCATAAAACCAGTAGATATCACAATATATAAAATCTTTGCCTATTCTGTTCATTTTAAACCCAGAAAATTTAGTAATCAGAAGAAAATTGTTTGAAAATATACCCACATGGGAAGTTAGGGCTTTACAGGGCTCCAGATCTCATCAGGAAGGTACTATGCAAGTTGAGAAGGAAAGTACATTATTATGGAAGTTTCATTAAATTAAATAGCCTTTATAAAGTTTTTCTTATAAAAGCATTTCTATGACATATGAGTTATTGCATTTCTCATAGTTCTTGTGCAATTTAAGAGGTGATAGTTGTTGGAAATGGAAGTTCTAAATACTGTGTGTAGTTGCAGAGCTATATAAATGTTTGATTGCAACAAGTAAGTCCTTTGCGCTGCAAGGCAGAATTTACATTACTGGAGACTATTTTAGTCACTACTATTTTACAGAGTCTATTTATAACTGTCTATTTTACACATAAGCTATTTATATTGGAAAGAGAATGAAGAATAATCAGATGAAGCTATATTCAATCTGGATGATGGTATATATATATATATTTTATTTAAAATGAAAGCAATGTGGTACAAAAATTTTAAAAGAATTTTTATTCTTCAGAAAATCTAGACCAATGTTTCACAATCCTAGATGCACATTATAATCACCTGGAGAATCTGACGGAGGGAAAAACAAACAATAATAGTGAAAAATCCTTGAATCCCATTTCCAGTGTCTGATTCACTTGGTTTGGGGTCAGGTCCAGACACTGACCATTTTGAAGAGTACCTTCAGATGATTCCATTGTGTAGCCAGGTTGAAACTAATGAACTAAACCAAAGGATTTAATTAAAAACAGACACAATAGGTGGTGACTAATATAACCTTACTCATTTGTAGCTTTTCAGAGGCAGGTGTCCCAGCTTAAACATTTTGTGTACCCCTACCAGCTGCTGTTTCATCTGGTAGATTTCCCGTTGCTCTTTTCTCAACACTAGGCATGCTAAGGAAAAGAGGTAAAATGTGAAAATTATGTTTCCTTTGCATTGTTTCTCATAAATTGCTGTTGTAAAATTTGAGTGGGAGAGGGAGTAGGAATATGGGAATTGAACCACAGCATGAGTAAAAATTTGCATCGATTTCAAGATTTCATTGCAAAATAAATCTTCCCTTCTTCCATTACTCTAGCTCATTAAGGTTTAAATATGTAAGTAAATTATGATTATAATTTATGAACATAAGCATAGTGAAAGTATTTTAACATAGAACTCACTAAAGAAATGTTGATAAAATAATGTTTATTGATATAGGTTTATACCACAAAATATTTGATTTATAAACAGATTAATCAATTTACTTGTTTAAATTTATTTATTTAACTTTTATAAATGTGTGTTTTTGACAGCAAGAACTTCAAATATAAAATTTGACAACATTGTGGATCCTTGCATTTATTCTGCTGTCGAAAAGTTAGGGGAAAGCAGCTTTCTTGAAAGACGGTTCAAAGAGAAAATTACAGATATGGAAAGTAATAAAAAGTCTGATGATTTCTGCGTATCACTTGAGAGCAAGGATTCTTTTCCAAGTGTCAATTTAGAAACACCTTCCATTAAGGAGAAATTATCTGAAGACATCAAAGAATCCTTGGAAGTTAGCAATCTGCATGAAAGGCTAAACTTTGAAGATTCAAAAACTACAAAGTCACCACTGGTATATCTATTTATGTTTATTATGTTTATTATATTAAAAATTTTGTTAGCAGCACAATAAGACAATTTTATATTGACACAATATATTCTTAAATATTACTTCTCATTGAAGTTAAAATGTGCTACTAAGGTAGTTGAAGATTGAGTTATATGGGAAAGAATGTTAGTAAAGAAATAGGGGTGTAGTTTTTGTTTCTTAGAGGGAAAAAAAGATAAAGTAGTCATTATTGCATTATTGCCAAATTTTAAAACCATGTTTGAATCTCTGTTCTACATCCGAAAAATCTTAAGTAATTGCAACTGTTAACAAACTCTTTGGAATTTGGGCAAGTCAGATGTTAAATTCTTTGGAAATTGGGAAGTCAGACATTTTAACGACCCTTTAAAATCATTTGATGTGAATCTCCATGGTGCCTAGACTGAAGTTGGTACCAAACAAGTTGAAACCTGACTATTGAGCTGCTGCTACTCTTGCTGGGGATTGGATTCTGTGTCCACTTTGTGACAGAGCTTGTTCCTTTCTGAAGTGTGAAACTGTAACTGAGACCTCTGCAAAACCTTAGATCCCTCAAAGTTTGCTCAGTAACCGAA